GGCGCCGACGCGGGCGCGCCCCCCTCGCTCACGTCGTCGCGCGGCGCCGGCGCCGTCGACAGCAGGCCGCGCGCCTCGAGAAACTGGCGCAGCGTCGACGCACGCGGCTTCGGCGCCTTTGTGCTCTGTGCCTTGGCAGCGTTCGGCGCGCGCGCGCGCGCCGCGCACGCGTGCGAAAAAGCGCGTGCGCCGAGCCCGAGGCCGCCCACGACGCGGTGGCGCAGCATAGCCGACGAGACGCTTTGTCAGCGCGGCTCGAGCGGCCCGCCCCGCCCTCCGCTGACGATGGCGCACGAGACGGACCGCCTGCTGCCCGACGCCGAGTCGGGCGTCCCGCCGCGCGGTGTGCGCGCCGCGCCCCGGAAGCGCGTGCTCGAGGTCGCTGGCGTGCTGCTGCTGCTGCTGCTGCTGGCCGCCGGCGTCGTGCGCGTGACGCTGCGGGACGACCGGCGCGCCCTGCGCGAGCTGTGCACGTCGCGCGCGTGTGTGCAGACGGCGCACGAGCTGATCCAGGCGCTGAACGAGAGCGCCGACCCGTGCGACGACTTTTACGAGTTCAGCACGGGCGGGTGGCGCGCGGCGCACCCGATCCCCGACGACGCGGGCCTCTTTGGCGTCGGCCAGTACGTCACCGCGCAGAACGACGAGATCGTGCGCGAGGTGCTGGCGCGCCCGCTCGAGGACCGCTCGCTCTCGCGCATGGACCAGATGAACCTCGCGATGCTCAAGACGCACTACGCCGCCTGCATGGACACCCGCGTGATGGACGCGGCGGGCGCGCAGCACGTCCTCGACTCGCTCGCGGAGCTGCACGGCGTGCTGCAGACGCCCGCGCACAACCTCACCGACGCGCTCGTGTGGCTGCACCTACGCGGCATGCCCGCGCTCTTTGCCGTGGACATCACCGGCGACCCCGGCGCGGCGCCGACGACCGCGACGCCGACGGTCGCGCCGGGCGAGCTCGGCCTGCCGGACGCGTCGTACTTTGACGACGACGACGCGCGCGCGTTCTACCGCGCGCAGCTCGTGCGCGCCGTGCACGCGCTGCACGACGTGCACGCCGAGGCCGCACGCGAGCCGCTCGTCGACGCGGTCCTCGACTGGGAGCGCGGCATGGCGCGCCTGCAGCCGGACGCGGTGACGCTCGCGGACCCCCAGGCGACGTACCACCCGCTGAGCGTGTCCGAGCTGCAGGACCTCGCGCCCGCCATCGACTGGGCGCGCTACCTGCACGCGATGAGCCCGCACGTGCAGCCGCACAAGGTCATCGTCGCGAGCCCCGCGTACCTGGCCGCGCTGAGCCAGCACGTCGCCGCGGCGGACGCGCGCACCGTGCGCGCGTACCTGTACTGGACGGTCGTGCGCACGATGGGCCTGTACCTCGGCCCGTCGGTGCCGCTCGCGCAGCCCGCGCGCGCGCTGCAGCGCTACGCGGCGGGCGTCGCGGCGGATGCGCCGGAGGACCGCGCGTCGACGTGCACGGCCGCGCTGAACCGCGCGCTCGGGTACATGACCGGCCGCTTCTTCGTGCAGGCCGCGCTGCCGCCGGGGAGCAAGGAGGCCGTCGAGGAGCTCGTCGAGCAGATCCGGCAGGCGTTCTACCGCCGGCTCGCGCAGCTCCCGTGGCTCGACGACACGACGCGCGCGCGCGCGCGCGCAAAGGCGGCGGCGATCACGGTCAAGGTCGGGTACCCGACGCACCCCGACACGCGGAGCGCGGACGCGGTGCACGCGTGGTACGCGGACCTGCCGGTCGTGCCGTCGTACTACCAGAACGAGATCCACACGCGCCTCTTCCAGGTCAAGCGCGCGTGGTCGTACCTGGGCGGCGAGCTGAACGCCGGCCTGCTGGGCGACCTCATGACGACCGAGGTGAACGCCGAGTACAATGCGGACCACAACGAGATGGCGTTCCCCGCGGGCCTGCTGCAGAAGCCGTACTTTGACGCGTCGTGGCCGCAGTACCTGCAGTACGGCGCGCTCGGCACGACCGCGGGCCACGAGCTCTCGCACGCGTTCGACCCGTCCGGCCGCCACTTTGACGCGCACGGCGTCCTGCGCGACTGGTGGACGCGCGCGACGCGCGCGCAGTTCGACGCGCGGCAGCAGTGCATCCAGGCGCAGTACGGCAACTACACGTGGCCCGACGGCCGCGGCGGCGCCGCGCACGTCGACAGCGCGCTGACGCTCGGCGAGGACGTCGCCGACGCGGGCGGCCTCGCGCAGAGCTACGAGGCGTGGCAGCGGCTCGTGCGCACCGGCTCGATCGACACGCTGCGGCGCAACCGCCGCCTGCCGGGCCTGCAGCACTACACGCAGGAGCAGCTCTTCTTCCTCGCGTACGGCGTCGCGTGGGCGCGCAACATCCGCACGGGCGAGGCGCTCAAGCGGCTGCGCACCGATCCACACTCGCCGACCAAGTTCCGCGTGAACGGCGCGCTCGCCAACTTCCCGCCGTTCGCGCGCGCGTTCGGGTGCCGCGCCGGGCACGACGCCATGGCGCGCGCGGCCGCAGAGCGCTGCGAGATTTGGTAGCTATACACGGTCGGCCCCCGCGGCCTGCCCCTCGTACACCGACACACGGCAGTCTTCGCCGCCCGCGACGAGGCGGTCGCCCGCGGGCGTCCAGTCGAGGCCCAGCACCTTGGTGCGCGCGCCCGAGGGCGGCGCCAGCGCGAACAGCGCCTGCTTCGGCGAGCGCAGGTCCCACACCTGGATGCGCCCGTCGTACGCGGCCGACGCGAGCAGGTGCGCGCTCGTCGGGTGCGTGCGCACCGCGCTCACCGGCGCCGCATGCGCGTGCGCCATGGCCAGCGCCGTGTTCGTCACGGCCTCGCGGAAGTCGTACAGCGCGAGCGAGTGGTCCATGTGGCCCGTCACGAGCTCGTGCAGGCCCGCCGCGCCCGCGCCGCGCACCGGGTCGAGGCACAGCGGCACCTTGTCCGACGCCTTGTGCGCCTGCAGCGCGCCGCCCGCGCGCACGTCCCAGCCCTTCACCGAGCCGTCCCACGCGGCACTCCAGATGCGCTCGTCGCCGTGGCCCCACGCCGCGATCGTGC